GAGCCTAGGCCAAGGGGTGTCGAGGGAGTTGTGCCAAGAGTGTGTTACGAGAAAGGAGAGGGGTTTCACTATAGCACACAAGGTACATATAGCAAAGCAACAAAGAAGGTGCACCACCAACTCTTAATAATAATAACTACAGTAACTACAGCACGCAGGGTATATATTGAACATATTGTTTGACACTAACAGACATCCCAACATTAAAAATTACAGAATGCTCACTCCTTTTCTAAGAAATCATCCGCATCCAGCACAGCCCCATGGTTCTTCCATTGAAGCTTCTGGCGGATCCAGAGAGTGACATAAACAAGGCCAATGAGCACAGGCACCTCAATCAGCGGCCCCACAACCGCGGCTAGCGCCTCGTCCGAGCCGATGCCATAGGATGCCACGGCAACGGCGATTGCAAGCTCAAAGTTGTTGCTCCCTGCGGTGAACGACTGCGTGACAGCGTCACAGTAGGCAAACCCAAGGCGCCAGCACAGGGCGAGAACACTGAAGAAGACAATTCCAAAGTAGATCAGGAGAGGCACGGCCACACGAGCGACCTGTATGAACAAAGGGATCGGGAGGGGTAAGAGAGGGGATCAGCGGATGAGTGGATAGACAACTATTGATCGATTAGCTCCGTGGTGTCTCAAAAGAACATCCTTGATGTGAGAGAGCCAATTCAAGAATCTGAAATAAAGCTGCATTGCACAAGAAAAGCTCCAATAATGGGAACAGAACGGAAAAGAGTTCCATACCTTGCCAATGTTGTTCCCAATGTTCTGGCCCTGCAGCGAGAACATGACAAAGATGGTGAAGAGCAGCCCGAGCAGCGCCGTGGGGCCGAACCACGGCAGGAACTTGTCGTCGTACCACTTGGCTCCCAGCAGCGCACGCAGCGTGAAGCGCGTGATGACAGCTGCAACGAGCGGCACTCCGAGGAAGATGAGCACGCTCTTGGCGACGGTCCAGAAGGACACGTCGACAGAGCCGCCGTGTGACACCACGTCAATGTAGAATATGGCCAGCGGCGAGTACAGGATCACCTGAGGTTGTAACGAGCAGGCAAGTAGATTGTGTAAGGGATTGAGGGAGGAGAGAAGGTTGGCATAGACCCGAAACCTGGAAAACAGAGAGGAAGGGAGTTACGAGACAGCAGGCAAGACAGGAAGCAAGGGCGGAACAGAGCAGGAGCACACATGCACAGGACCGGCGCTGACCTGCAGGATGGAGTTGACGGCGACGAGGATGGCGCAGAACTCGGCATTGCCGCCCGCCAGGTGGTTCCAGATGAGCACCATGGCAATGCAGCGTGCTATGCCCACCAGGATTATGCCTGAACGCAGCCCAGCTTGATCGGGGAGGGTGGCCCATGCCAGCCCTGGTGGTGAGGAGGGGAGCAACGGAGAGAGGAGTCAGAGCAGATGCATGGAATCGAGTTTGGTATGGATCTTGGAGCTGAGGCCTTGCTGCTGAAATAGATTTTTGAGTCGACGCAAAAATACAGATTAGGGGTTGGAGCTGAGGGCTTGCTGCTGAAATGCCATGAGCAGCCAATGCACAGAGTACCACAACGAGTAAAAAAGCATGTAAAGTGCTTCAAGGTGACTTTTGAGTCGACTCAAATGGCAAGAGCAGCCAATGCAGAGTGTACCGCAACGAGTAAAAAAGGCATGCCAAGTGCTTCAAGGGGCATCAAATTGGAATAATATAAGGAAAAGAACGAACCCGTCATGAGCAGGGGAGCAAACACCCAGTTAATAGCCAGGGAGACGCCGATGTGGAACAAAAGGCCCCAGGATCGGGACAGCTTCGGCAACAGCTCGAACCTAACCTGCACCCACAGGGAAGGAGGACAGAAATTGGGCACTTGGAACTCAGGCTTGGACCTCAGTTTTTGGACTTCAGGTTCAGAACAATGAGTTTCGGGGTGAATAGAGGCGCCTGAGTTGGGAGCAACCAAGTGGACCTTGGGTCTAACCTGACTTTGCTTGCTCCACCGACAATTTATGCGCTCACTCGTTTCAAACACGCTCACTACACAACCCTAAACCCTTGCAGAACACGGTGTGAACAACCCAATCTTGCAGAGCACCTGGTAGGGTGAATAACCCTGCCTTGCAGAGCACAGGGTAGGGTAAATAACCCTACCTTGCAGAGCACGGGGTACATCATCCACCAGAGGCCGATGGCAATGGGAAGCGATACGCTGGCCACAGACACAGTCTCCCACGCGTCGCGGATGGCGGGCACGTAGTAGCCGAGCAGCACACCGATGATCATGGCGAGGAGGATCCACACAGCCAGGTAGCGATCGAGCAGCGACATGCTGCGGAACACAGCTGTGTGTATTTCAGGGAGAGAGGGTTTGAACAAGGAGGGGGATGAAAGGGGGGGAGCATGTGCGCAGAGGGGGGAGAGGGGTTGGAATCTTGCAGGGTAGCGGGCACGTAGTAGCGGAGCAGCACACCGATGATCATAGCGAGCAGGATCCACACAGCCAGGTAGCGATCGAGCAGCGACATGGAAGACAGCTGCACGATTTAGAGCGAGAGGGAGTGCAAAGAGGGAGGGGGGGGAAGAGAGGGGGGGAAGAGAGGGGGGGAAAGGGCTTGGGATATGGTGGGACGTAGTATTCAAGCAGCATGCCGATGATCATAGCGAGCAGGATCCACACGGCCAGATAGCGATCGAGGAGAGACATGCTGCGAAACACGGCTGCATGTTGTTGCATAGGGACATAGTGGAAACACGAGAAGGGGGTTGGTAGAGAGGGGCGGAGCGGGAGTAAGAGAACCTTGAAAGACGAGAGAATTTTGCAGGGATGAGGAGCAGCATCGAGCAGCTACATTCTGCGATATGCTGTGACATGACGTTCTGTTACATGACGTTCTGTTACATGACGTTCTGTAACATGACGTGCTGTAACATGACATGCTGTAACATGACATGCTGCAACATGACATGCTGCAACATGACATGCTGCAACATGACATGCTGCAACATGACATGCTGCAACATGACATGCTGTAACATGACATGCTGTAACATGACATGCTGTAACATGACATGCTGTAACATGACATGCTGTAACATGACATGCTGTAACATGACATGCTGTAACATGACATGCTGTAACATGACATGCTGTAACATGACATGCTGTAACATGACATGCTGTAACATGACGTGCTGTGACATGACATGCTGTGACAAGCTGTGAGATGTAGCAACAAACCAGCAGCGGAGAGCTCCTTGACGGCGGGCGCGTTCTTCTCCTCCAGCGCCTCCACCACGCGGCACGCCACCTCCTCCTCGCCCTCCGCGCCCCACACCAGCATCGCGCGCGCCGAGTCCGTCCGCGGAACGGCCTTTCGTAGGGAACGGAGACGGGAAATGGGAGAGGGGAGAGGGGTACGGAAGAGAGAAAATAAGGGTAAGGAAAAGGTATGTGGTGCGAGGGGGGTTCAACCTCAAGTCTGGGGAGACGGAATATGTAAGTGGGGAAAGGCGGAATTGAGTGGAGACGGGGAGCACGTGTCCCATATCAGTGGTAGAACCGGAAACTCGTGCCTTCGGCTTTGCTGCCCGATGGACATGGTTCCGAACGACGTTCCTCCGTATGACGTACCTCGGACGGGCAGCAGCAGCTGAAATGCGTCGCGCCGCTTCCCGCTTTCTTCATGGTAGCCGGGTACTCCTCCGTCTCACCGGTGCTGCTCTTGAAGCGGCACCGCAAGCCCAGCTGCTGCTCGTTCACGCCAGGCTCCGACGACGCCAGAAGCGGCGGAAGCTTCTTATTTTCCGGCACGCATCGCACTTCCACTCCATGAACTACAGCCTCAGCCATTGCAGCGTGATGAGACGAAAATCGCGAGCGGATCGCGTCGGCGCACGCACGGGGAGACTGAGACTCGATGACAGAAAGTTGGGGGGTGTGAAGCAAAGCAATTGTATGCAGAAACCCGATGGAGAAGAAGAGCGATAGTTGGATCAAGCCACGATGAGATGGGTTGGATCGAGCAGAAGTGCAACTATCGATTTTATAGAGGTTGTGGTGGAGGTTGGTTTCATCAGCTTTTGGCGGCAGCGCTGTCGGAGGGCGGGAGGTCAGGGATGTACCGTAAATCTCGGTAATCTCGACAATCCTAGTGGTGGTTTCCTGGCAGAGAACATATTCAGCAAAGTCGAGAAATTTCTCACATTATGAAAGCTGTATCCCCTTTCTAAAACCGGACTTTTAATGGTTTTTTTTAGCTTCGATAAAGAATATTGTAGAGAATTTGGCTGGACGAAGTGTTTCCACTTCTCGTTTCCGGCATCTCTCAGATTTACCCGGAAATATGGGGTCGTAAGGTGCACAAAGTTACGCTTTGCGGTGTACTTAGGAAAATTGTATTTGTCGTGGGGTTGTTTCGCATCCTTCGGACAGGTCTAGAGCATTTGGAGTTTCCTCGAAATTCCACGAAAAGGAATATTCCTTTCTGGGGGAAAGTTGGAGGGGAGGGGAAGGGGGAGAGCAGGGAGGGGGAGGGGGGTTGGGGGCAAGATGCGGGGAAAGGGGGGGAGCGTTGGGGAAATATTCTCTTTAGAAGTAACGGAACGAGAGAAGTATTTTTTAGGTGAGTTTCGAGGAAATTATGGCTGGTTTGGGACAAGAACTACTTAGAGCCACGCTGGCGCTGTCTATGAGACAGATTAATTTCAAGCGGAGCCAATCAGGCTGAAGGCATTTGCGAGCACCATTTCCCACACGCCTCAAGCTGACGCCTTGGGTGAGTCGTTGTGGTTGCTGCCACTTTTCTGTCGCTGGCGGTTGCTTTCTAATAGCGCGTTCATCGCTCGTTCACCGACGTCTTCGTGACATGCGGCTGCATTCTTCGTCGTCATCAGTCAGTTGTCTATGGAATTTGTTATGTCAGCTGGAGTTACTGAAGTCAAACACCACGCCACCTCCCCCTCCATTACTCTTTTCCCCGCTTCCCCCATAAACGCAGTAATCAATCAGCATGCCGAAGCGCGTTCTTTTCGTATGCAGCCACAATGCGAATCGCTCGATCGCCGCCGAAGCGATCGCCCGCCATCTGCGGCCAGAGCTCGAAGTCGAAAGCGCAGGTACGGGCCAAACCTGAGCGGTATCAACGCGATTGAGTGAGGCCACATTGAGAATTTTGAGAAGTAAAACGAGAGTTTTTTTTTTAGGTGTCATAATGGTTTATCGTAAAAGAATGAGACTGTCGGTGTTGAATCTGTGGAGGGAAAGTGAATGATATGTGTGAGCATGAAGAAGAAGAAGAAGAAGAAAAAAAACGAGAAACAAGGTTGAACTATTTTAAGATCTTTTTTGCTTCATACCTGAGCATTGAGTTTCGAGGTTGAAAGTGAGGGATGGTTTCTAAACCCTGAACTCTCTGACACAAACTTTTTTACACTGGATTCCAGTTGTACAGCTCTCTGTCGCGCGGACAGGGTTTAGGTAGCTTTGAGTCTAGAGTAGGTATGCCAATTCACATTTCCAACTATGCCATCAAGCTCAAACTGGATCTTTGGGGTACAGACACGAGCATGCTCGGTCCTCGTGATGCGTTTGCGTACGAACGGAATAAATTCATGGCCTCGTTGTTGTGACTTTTCTTCCAGGCGTGGATGCCGCAGGGAAGCTGAATCCGGTCATGATCGAGGCTCTCAAGACACGTGGCTATCCCACTGACCATGCTCGCTCCAAGGTAGATAGCAGAAATGACCCACCATATGGAGGTCATGTGTTAACATTCGTCACAGCCATCATTAGCATATGCGAAGTGCGTCTTGAAATCCGTTGACTGATTCTTGGCTGCTCTTTCACTGGTCGCAATCCACAGGGTATTGCAGATGAGACGATTGGGGGCCTGGAGAACAATTGGGATCTTATCGTCATGATGGGCTGTCTGGTGAGTAGTTGTCATGATGGGGCTGTCTGGTGAGTTGGTGTCATGATGGGCTGTCTAGTGAGTTGGTGTCATGATGGGCTGTCTGGTGAGTCGGTGTTATGATGGGCTGTCTGGTGAGTAGGTGTCATGATGGTCTGTCTGGCCAGGCTCATGATGTGGTATGCACGGTTTCAGGAAATACTGAAACTCGCATTTTCCGGTTGCATTCCCTGGGACCCCGCCTTTTTGCTGAATCATTCTTCCCAAAGGATGGCTGTTCCATCATGCCATGCTTCTAGTCGTCATGTTGCTCATGTTCTGCTGTTTCCCCTCGCTATATAGCATATAACATTTATCCCGTTATGCCTTTCCTCGTTTGTTTTCCCACCTGCAGCCGAACCTACCCAAGGTGGACCTGCCTGAGACGACCACTGTAGAGGATTGGGGTCTACCTGACCCCGCTGCACACCCTGAGTTGATGGATTCTGTGATTGAGAAGATTGTGGAAAAGGTGAAAGCCATTTAAGTGCGCGTCAATGTAATTCTCCTTGGGAAGGGGTATTGCAAGTAAATGAAAAGCCTTTTATGCATCAAGTACAGTATGAATCAGCAACTAAGAAAAGATCCAGGTTTCTCTTTTCATGTGCTGTGAGATACGGTACTACGAGTATGTGTTAGAAAGAAATAGAAGGACCACTAATGCATTCGTTACTATTGGAGTTAAGGGTTTACGGCAGAGTACCAGTGTGGTCCAATAAGGAAGACCACTACCGTATCGCCCCGGATATAACCGCAGGCCTATGTTAAGCGCATGCGCTTTTATCTGGAGCAATGCGCTTATGGCCGATCCTCATTTAGAAGCGCACCCCCTAAAAAAACGTGATTCATTATAAGCGCATGTTAGTTTTAAAATTGGAAAACTGTCAAAATACTGTAACGAAGCTCGCTCTAGCAAGCTGTTGACTTGAAAAACAAAGTTTCTTCGCATTCAAACCCCGCAGGCTGCACGTCCAGTCAGCATGTGCTGGCGGAAGCGCCAATTTGAGTGTATGTGCTGGCAGGGAATCTTTCTTTGCCAAGTAGCGAGAGATTTTCACCCAAACCCTGTTTGAAATCGACTCGATTGGGTGTGCAATGACGCGAACTACATTTTCGTGCTAGTAATTTAAAATTGTATATTTGTTATTTTATAAGCGCATGCGCTTATATTTTTTACTCAATTATAAGCGCACCCCCCTGAAAAATCATGTTTTATTATAAGCGCAGGTGCGCTTTTATCCGGGGTAATACGGTAATAGATTAATTGCCACTTGAGGTTTTTCGATGTTAATGGACTACTGGAACTTATGAGCCCTGGATCAGCATGTCCAGTCGGCAAGTATGAAGCTTCCAGACATGCACCAGCTGGCAAGCAGATTGGAGTTGAAGTCCTGCTTATGGAAAAGAAGATAAGGGAGGGGAGGGGAGGACAATGGAGAGCAGAAAGGTTACGGAACTGTAGAAGCAAAGGGTAGTGGGCATCGTGAAAAAGGTTCCAGCTTCCGAGTCTTCGCGAAAGAAAGGGGCGGGGCCGAGGTGTCAAAGCCTTCAGCCGAGCAGAGAGCAATGATGACCAGCGTCCTTCTCAGAGAGAATTTTCTCGTTTGAAGGATGTGTGCTGAGCACCCCTGTCATTCACCAGGGCAGTTCATCCGTAATCACTTGATCACCACTGCGACTCACCCTTGCATTCGCCACTGCGACTCACCCTTGCATTCGCCACTGCGACTCACCCTTGCATTCGCCACTGCGACTCACCCTTGCATTCGCCACTGCGACTCACCCTTGCATTCGCCACTGAGACTCACCCTTGCATTCGCCATTGCGACTCACCCTTGCATTCGCCACTGCGACTCACCCTTGAATTTGCCACTGAGACTCACCCTTGCATTCGCCACTGCGACTCACCCTTGCATTCGCCACTGCGACTCACCCTTGCATTCGCCACTGCGACTCACCCTTGCATTCGCCACTGCGACTCACCCTTGCATTCGCCACTGCGACTCACCCTTGCATTCGCCACTGCGACTCACCCTTGCATTCGCCACTGCGACTCACCCTTGCATTCGCCACTGAGACTCACCCTTGCATTCGCCACTGCGACTCACCCTTGCATTCGCCACTGCGACTCACCCTTGCATTCGCCACTGCGACTCACCCTTGCATTCGCCACTGCGACTCACCCTTGCATTCGCCACTGCGACTCACCCTTGCATTCGCCACTGCGACTCACCCTTGCATTCGCCACTGCGACTCACCCTTGCATTCGCCACTGAGACTCACCCTTGCATTCGCCATTGCGACTCACCCTTGCATTCGCCACTGCGACTCACCCTTGCATTTGCCACTGAGACTCACCCTTGCATTCGCCACTGCGACTCACCCTTGCATTCGCCACTGCGACTCACCCTTGCATTCGCCACTGCGACTCACCCTTGCATTCGCCACTGCGACTCACCCTTGCATTCGCCACTGCGACTCACCCTTGCATTCGCCACTGCGACTCACCCTTGCATTCGCCACTGCGACTCACCCTTGCATTCGCCACTGCGACTCACCCTTGCATTCGCCACTGCGACTCACCCTTGCATTCGCCACTGCGACTCACCCTTGCATTCGCCACTGCGACTCACCCTTGCATTCGCCACTGCGACTCACCCTTGCGTTCGCCACTGCGACTCACCCTTGCATTCGCCACTGCGACTCACCCTTGCATTCGCCACTGCGACTCACCCTTGCATTCGCCACTGCGACTCACCCTTGCATTCGCCACTGCGACTCACCCTTGCATTCGCCACTGCGTCTCACCCTTGCATTCGCCACTGAGACTCACCCTTGCATTCGCCACTGCGACTCACCCTTGCATTCGCCACTGCGACTCACCCTTGCATTCGCCACTGCGACTCACCCTTGCATTCACCAGTGTGATCACTCACCCTCACAATGCCACACCAGGCGCTGTCCCATCGAAACAACTGGTGCACTCGTGATGCCCCGTTGCCCGCTTGATCCCCTCCCCTGCTGCTGACATTAAGTCTACTCAAAGTCACTCACCTGTATCAAGTGAATTTTTGAGACGCCTAAAAATTTCACTTTATACACGTGATGCCCCGTTGCCCGCTTAATCCCCTCCCCTGCTGCTGACATAAAGTCGACTCAAAGTCTCTCACCCTCACAACGCCACACCAGGCGTTGTCTCCTTGGAACGCCTGGTGCAGAAAAAACCATCGCAATTTCCCTTGTGTTGCCCTCCCACACTCACCCTTGCAATGCCACACCAGGCACTGTCTCCTCGGAACGACTGGTGCACTCGCGATGCCCCTTTGCTCCCCTCCCCTGCTGCTTCCGCTTCTGCTGCTTCCGCTTCTGCTGCTTCTGCTTCTCCATCGGCTTCCCTGGCCCCTCTGCCTCCCCCTCCTCTCTCTCCCAATCCTCCTCTGTCCATATCCAACTCCTCCTCCCGGTGTGCACACCCCACATCCTCTTTGCACGCGCCCTCTCTACCATTCCGTTGTTCTCTGTTCCGATGCTCCCTGTTCTGAAGCTCCACGTACTGCTGATTCACTTTCTCTCTGCTTGGCTGCGCCCTTCCCCTCCCCCCGCCCTCAATCCCTCCTCCTTCTTCCCCCTTGTCCCCCCTTCCGCTCCCCCCTTTCCCCCTTTTCTTGTCTGCTCTTCGCACCCCTCCTGCCCTCCCCTCGCCCTCAGTCCACCTGCCACACACCACCTCATTGTCACCGCTCCACACAAACACGGATTCATCAAATTCAAAGAAACGTCCCTCCTGTCCCTCCTGTCCCTCCTGTCCCTCCTTTCTTGCTTCCTTTCTCTCACCACCAGCCACAGGGAAAGCTATTCCCATCACGTCCTGCCGAACGCAGCCGACCCATCGGCCTCTTGCCGCCCAATTCCGCACGTCGTACACAGCTACAGTGCGCTCAGCCCCTCCCACTGCCACCAAGCCTGTTACCGAGCCTGGTCCCGGGCCTGCTGTCGAGGCTAGGGCGTAGAGAGGCTCGGCAGCAGGAGAGACGGTGATTCGCTGAATGCAGCCACCGTTTTCAGCAGCCCGCTCGTCCCAGATGCTGAGCTGGCATGATGACATGGCATGGTGACATGGCATGGTGAGGTCAGACGCTGGTGTTAGGAACTTTTCAGGCAGGGGTTGTTGACATGGATTGCTTTTTTAGGGTTCAATGATGTGGGAATGCTTGCTTGCTTGCATGCATGCATGGGTGAGTTGTGGTGTGGTGAGCAGTGCACATGAACCTCCCCCCTCCTCCTCTTCCCCCACACACACCTGAGGGCCTTCGCACACTACCAGCAGCCGAACCCCTTCAACTGCATTCACGTCCCCCTCCCCCTCCATCTCCATCTGCCCTCCCCTCCGCTTGCCTCCCCCCCTGCCCCTCTCAGTCCCCCCCAGGAAACCCACAGCAGCGGGGGGGAAGGGCAGGCGGAATGTGCGCAAGGGGGAAGCGGGGGAGGGGGAAGCTGGGTCGTGCAGGTCCACTGATCGGGGGAAGAAACGAGAGGTGGCCACCTGGCAACGGAGGACGGGGGGAGAGGGGGACGGGAGGTGGGGAGAGGAAGGGGAGGGGGAGTCCGGGTCGTGCAGGTCTACTGATCGGGGGAAGAAACAGAGGTGGCCACCTGTTGGGAGGGAAGGGGAGGGGTTGTGGAAGAGAGAGGGGAAACACTGAGAAGCAGGGGGAGGGGGAGGCTGGGACGTATAGGTCTACTGAGCGGGGGGAAGGAAGGCAGAGGAAGCAGCACGACTCCGGCTCAGAGATGCCACAGGGGGGAACAAACACTTGCACGGTACAATCATAATAGACACTCAGACATGCAGCGCAATGCAGTACAGCATACCCGTGCCATACCCGCAAGGTGGAGGGACCTGTGACGGAGATGGCAGTGCAGCATGGTCCCGGCTCAGTGATGCCACAGGGGCGAACAAACCCTTGAATGATATATTTCGAACATTTTACACACTTTAAGATATAGTGAGACAGTACAAAGGTACATGTGCTGTACCCGGATGGTGGAGGGCCCTGTGACGGAGATGGCAGAGCAGCATGGACCCGGCTCAGTGATGCCACAGGGGAAAACAAACACTTGTACGGTACATTCGAAACGTACACTCTCTCACACAGTTACATTACATGGCATGAGCACTTGGTATGTGTCTTACCCGAATTGTGGAGGGCCCTGTGACAGAGATGGCAGTGCAGCATGGTCCCGGCTCAGTGATGCCGCAGGGGGAGGGGGAGAGGTGGCAGATGGAATCAGGAGTCACTGCCATGTGTGGGGAGAGAAGCGACGTGGGAGGGGAGGAAGGGGGGAGAAGGAGATGGCAGCGGCATACGAGCAACATGGTCCCGGTTGGGAGCTATTTTGAGGCGCCCCAAAATACGCCTCAAGTTTTGAGGCGCCTCAAAAGATGGCAGTGGCATACGAGCAACATGGTCTTGGTTGGGAGTTTTGAAGTTGGGGAAATGGGGGAGTGGGGGAGTGGGGGAGTGGGGGAGTGGGGGAGTGGGGGAGTGGGTGGGAGTGGGGGAGAAGGGGAGTGGGAGAGTGGGAGAGTGAGACACATACGAGAGACAAGTAAAGTGGAAAGAAGGAAAGCAAGAGCTGACTTTGTTGACTTGATTGACTCGCTGACCTGGCTGACTGACCAGATGAAGACGAGAAGGTGGAGACGTTGGTTCGACCGAGCGAGTCCACTGAGGAGAGGAGAGTGGAGGCTGGTGGCAGGGGTGGATAGGGGAGGAGAGAAGGGTGGATGAGGGAATGAGGGGAAGAGAAAAGTGCAAGAGCAGATGGAAAGCAAGGTCAATTAAAGAGAAGTGAAAGGGGGCAAAAGATGAAACCATGGCAGCAAGAGCAAAGGTGGGGCTCTTGAACGAATAAGTTTGCTATGTTTCTACTAGAAGCAAATTGAGAGAGACAGAACTGGTTAAGGGCATCTGCTCATTTACGCGTGATCAGATGCCCTTAACCAATTCTGTTTCCCTGCTTCTCTGATCCAGGCGTGAGCCTAACATATGTTTGCCATGTGTTCCCGAGTCAGTATGCTTTGCTCACCTGCTCGCCCTCCAGTGTCTCCCAGGGCGGCGGACGCAAGGCTCTGAACGGCCGCTGTGTGCAGGAGCAAAGGGACGGGCGTTGGAGTGACGTCCTGAAGGTGGGTAGAGGGGTTGATGGGGAAGGGGGGATGGGGATGGGGATGGGGATGGGGATGGGGATGGGGATGGGGATGGGGATGGGGATGGGGATGGGAGGGGAGAGCCGCGGAGGGTTGGACAAGGAGAGACGTTTCAAGAATGGCTGGAGACATCTCAAGTAGCCTGATGCGAACACGTGACGTGACGAGGTGGCATTCATTCATACGATGGAATCCGAAACCACGTCACTTGGCCTTTATGTGAACAGGAGGGTGAATCAGCGAAACCTACCTGAACATTGTGAATGAACCGAACCCACTTGAAGCAAGGTGAATCAGCAAGACTTACCCCCACAGGGTACTTACCCCCACAGGGTACCAACCCCCACAGGGTACTTACCCCCACAGGGTGCGGCAGAAGCACCTGCGCCTTGCCCTGCTGCAACAGATTCTCCTGACCTATCGGCACCTGACAGTGATACACCTGACGTCCAGATGCAATGTACGCGTCGCACACGCCATCGCTGGGAATTGGTTGGGGAGGGAAGGGACGGGCTAACGGGTGAGGGTGGAGATGGGTGGAGATGGGTGGTGTGAGAAATACGCGGGCGAGGCGAGGACACTAGCACGAATTATGGAAGTAGCAGTCAGAGCGGAGAGTATTATGGTGGACCCGCACGGCAAGCAAGTTCTCGCGCCAAATCAGCGTTGCCATGTTCAACGCGCCGGGAATGGACGTGCTGACGCGAATGGGGACAGATTCAACGAGCTAGGAATGCGACGCGGCAGGCTGCTTTGAGTGCGACTAGGAACGGACGTACCGACGCGAGTGGGCCTGGAATGCGACGCGGCAGGTGTACTCGGCGTAACTCGCGGAGGGGTTGGACGGCAGGAGCAAGCGAGCCCTGACGACGGAGCGCGCTGATGGCGCCATGGAAGCTGGTGCTGCTCGATTACGCTGAGGTAAGCATATCCATTATGGAGGTGTCTGGGCTGTTAATCTGGCCCCGTTTGTGGCTCGAAGTTAACAACAGTGTACTTTCCAGACTAACGTGAAAAACCTAAAATCTGCACACCAAAGCATGAGGGGAATTGTTGAGGCATTTTAACGAACCCATATTTAACTGACGCTAACTAGAGACTGCGATCCCCTAATCAGCCACAGAAGAAAGCTTCAGGTTAGTCTCTTGGAACTGCCTTGATAATTTTCACATCATGGATGGGTCTGCACAGCACCAAGCGAAGAATCAGAGGGAGGGGAGGCGAGAAAGAGCAAACGGGCGCGAACGGGAAAAGTAAGACACAAAGAGATCTGCATCACCCACTAACGAGGAAGAGTACTGGGTTACGGTGCATGCATACAAGAACGCATCCCATTCCTGCTGCGCTGCATCACCTGTCAGTCCTGTCGGCCTGCACGTTGCCCAGCCGTTTCAGCACGTCCATTCCATGCGACACACGGCCAAATATGGTGTGCTTGCCTGCAGTGCAACAGGAGAATTGAGTGAGATAGGGTAGGATATAGCCAAACTAGCAACCTCCCAAATCGGTATTTTTGTGCAGTGCATTTGAGGCATTGAATGTTGAATCAGTATTTGTTGCGGCAGTTCGGGAGTGTGGCGGAGGTGATCACTGGATGCACCATCAGGCCAGGGGAGTATGGGAGAGGGAAATCAATCAACGCACCATCGAGCCAGGGAGTGGGGGCGAGGGTGAGGAAAAACTGGCTGCCATTGGTATTGGGCCCGGCATTGGCCATGGAGAGCACACCCGCACCCGTGTGCTTCAGCTCGCGCGTTATCTCATCCTCAAACTTGGCTCTGAGCCATCGGATAACAGAAAGGGGAGGCGGAAGGAAAGGGTTCAGGGGAAGAAGAGAGGATCGGAATGAGCAATATCACCTTCAAATGTGGCACAGGAACGGAGAGGGGACAGTGATGATGGAAGGAACAGAGGAGAGTGAGGTGGAGGCTTCAGACAGAAGGAAGGAAGCTTTAAACGAGGGGGCATGAGGGGAAGAAGGGCAGCGTACAAACGAGAACTGAGAGGGTCAAGCTGCTGAGAACGATTGGGACGTGCAGTACTATGAAGTTTGAAACTGCAGCAATACGAACTCAAACGCAGTGACAGAACCCTGATCTGAGTCCCTGAGATCCAAACACTTATGATAATCACTCACCCATAGATAGACTCGCCTCCTCGTCCAGTCCCTGTGGGATCACCGCCTTGAGCCATAAAATCCTGCCAATGCACAATGTAGCAGTGACAGGGGTGAATGGAAAAACTCAATTTTGCTGAAGCAGCAGTATTGGTGATTGGAAAGCTAACGAAACTTAAAATTGCCACCAAGGACTTGCTAAGGGTCCAAGGCTAATCTGGGCCCCTGCAATAACTGAAATCACCAGCCGAAATGCCACCAGATGGACTTGATCACTCAATTTGGCAGCTCAAAATGATCACTAAGTTCACCAGCTCACCATACACTCGCTTTGCCGCCTCACCTTAATCACTCGGTGGAACTTGGTGCCATTGTAGTACCCTCTCCGTGAGAGTTCCAAGAAGTTTCTGCACGTCTTCGGAGCGTGCTTGTGGTACAACTGCACAGTGCTTCGCAAAATGATACGGAAAGGGAACGGAACGAGGAAAATATTCAGACGCATTATTGGCGATAAAAAACATGATTTAAGGAAAATATACTCAAGCAGAATACGAAGTTTGGATCCCCTAACAAGTGGCGCGACGTTAAACGATAGCAAGCTCAATACCGGCGACCAATACGTGACGAAATATCTGCTGTGACCGACAAACACGTACTCTTTGATGCTGTGCCACCCTCATGGGTAAGTACTGTACGCTCAGTCTCAAACCTACCTCGACTGTTATTTGCCCCATTGTCGTTTCGAGCACCACTTCTGGTGCTGCGTTGTCGGCCATTCCCGCTTACCCCAGTCTACGAGGAATTGCTACAAGCGGTAACGGCTATCTAAGTCAGTACGAGCTGTATCGATGGAAGGCTGTACAGCTGTAAAGGTGCGGGGTATGGATCTCATCACGTCGGCGGTGTTCGTCAGCACCAATCAAGCAAAAACCATGGGATATGGCCCTGTTCGATAGGCTAACGCTTTGCAAGAGGCGAAGGCTAGGCTAAGGTTAGGAGGAGGGCTCGGCGCATTTTCCTATAGCTAAACCCGATCGGAAGCCTCGCCCCTAGAAATCGGAAGGAGCGGGGCCCTGAAGGCGATCTTTCTCGCCCCCTTCTGGCTGGGTCATCTTGGTCTGTGTAGAAAGATTTATACTGCCCGCTATAGAGGTCTGGGTAACAAGGCCGGAAAAAAAAAGGCCCTCCCCACAAAGAGCTCGCCTCACAAGCAGCGCGGTTTTTTTTTTTAGGTGGAGTCAAGCAGCGTGGTAGTTTTTTTTCCGGTCCACGGAGAGGGTAACCCTACCACCCTTAACCTTTGACGAGCCCTTTGGCAAACCCCACTTTGGGGGGGCGAGGGTTAGGCTAGGCGAGAGCTAAACCTTTGCCTGAAAGAGAAGGACGGTGGAACTTTCCCAGCGGGCTAAGGCTTCTCGAGTGGGTTGCGTTCGACAGGCAAACCTTAACCCTTTGGACTCTTGGGCGTTAAAGCCCCAAAACAACAAATCACGGGCTGACCGCAGAAAAAAGACCTTTGTCGAAACAGCCGCGAGGATTCCGCGGGCGTTAAGGCTAGCCTATCGAACAGGGCCAATGACGGGATCAGGAAGGTGGGTCTCGCCTTCCTGATCCCGTCAGTTAGGGTTCGTTTACATCCGTCAGCCTGGTCAGCTCGTAAAAAAGGTGCTATCCCCAAACGTCCAAACCAACAATCAAAGTGGGTGTCTGGCGAACGCCCCCATTTGTCCACCAAAACGAACTGCTCGACGGCATATGGAAGCGGGGACGCAACTTCGTCCCCAGGCAAAGTTCCATCCCCAAGCCATGCCATCGTCATGCCCCGTTTTTCAAAGCACAGCGATGGCACAGCCGTCGCATTGCCGTTCAGAGGGGAACCTCTGAACAAGCCTGTTGTTTGACAAAAGGGGGTTCGAATACCCCCCATTTTTCCCCTCCCAAACACACCTTCGATGTGCCCCCCGCGCATCACTTGGTCGAAATCATTCGCAACTCCGTAAGCTACTCCTCACAGGCGTGACAGTCTTTTGACTAGTTTTTTTACCTTAGTTTTTTTTGCGCCTGTTACCCTGGATAGTTTTTGGCCCTCGGTCTGGCACTGGTCAGTGGCGCGTAAAATTCGCGCCACTAATTGAGGAAGGTTGGTTTGGGGGTTCCATATGCGGTTGTGAAATTTCATGTTTTGGGGATTGAAGTTTCGCGGACCGCATTACGCCCAGACCTCTTGACCGGGTTTCGACCCCGGTTCCAGATGCGGTCACCATGCCGACGTCGCCAAAATGTCAACCGTTTTCAAAGTCCGTGACGAACACCGCCGTCATCGTGCTGTTCGCCAGCACGACTGAAAAGTGAAATTACGGGATAGCGACGGGATCAGGAAGGTCAGTCTCGCCTTCCTGATCCCGTCAGTTAGGGTTCGTTAACCTCCGTCAGCCTGGTCAGCCCGTAAAAATGATGCTGAGCCTCTCCTATCGTCCAAACCAAAAAACAAAGTGGGTGTCTGGCGAACGCCCCCATTTGTCGAGCAAATCGAACTCTTCGACGGCATATGGAAGCGGGGACGAAACTTCGTCCCCAGGCAAAACTCCCTCCCCAGGCCATGCCATCGCCATCCCTCGTTTTTCAAAGGACGACAATGGCACATCCGTTGCGTTGCCATTCTCAGCCCTTGGGAGGAAGGTGGGGATGGAGGTTCTCGACGCGGTTGCGTAATTTCGCTTTTCAGCCCAGAAGTTTCTCGAGTGGCATTACGCCCAAACCTCGGAGGTGGGTTTCGCCTCCGTTTCCGGATGCGGTCGCGATGCCGATGCCATCTTTTTCATTCAAATTTTCGATTTGCTGGCGAACAGCACCCATAAGTTCCAGAAGCGGATTCTGTAAAACGACGACTATGCAGTTTCGCTGGTTGCGCGATAGCTAAGGGCGTGTAACATCGCTGCGACCAAACCCGAAATCCGACCATTTGGTCGTCTTGGCCGATACGTGAGGGAAATGGTAACTTCCTGGGGCTTTATCTATATATTTATATATTTTTTAAACGACCATTGTAAGAAATTTTCCTAATTCCTTACTGAGGCACTACGTACGCATACAATTCCAACTTTTCGGAGTTCAGGCTCGGCCCGCCGACCTCGCCTTCCGAACGTCCCTCGCGTCGCCTTCGGGTTTCCCAACCCCAAACCTGCACCCAACCTTCGCGCGACTCCGCGACCTCGGCCTAGCTAGCCTCGCTATATTATGCCTAGACCTCGTGGTTTGCTCAGTAGTTGTAATCACTTCCGCGATATTGCATTCTGCGCACTCTTCTTTCGTACAACTCATAACACTTGGTATCAGAGCTACTTTCCTAGGTTACCCTCCACTTTCCGGGTTAGTTTAGTGCAGGGGTGCGATAGACTTGGTGGGCTGCAAAGCGGTCGGCTGAGAGATAGATACGATTATCTCGCTCCGACTAATAGCGTTTGCGCCTTCATCAAAGCCATAAAAATCGTCGTTAACCCGCTGCCCGTTAGGATGAGCCTCCGAAACACGACGCACGCAGGCGGAGTTTGACGCCTTCGTGCAGGATTTTCGGGCGATGCAGGCCAACATGCAGACTATATTTGGCGAGTTGGATCGCCTGAGGGTGGAAAACGCCGAGCTACGCCAGACGCGAGGTGAAGCGCGTCAGGAGTCGCCCGCCGTGGATGAAGCTAGTAGGCGCTTCACGCCTAACGAAGATGTCCTTAGCGAGCTACAGGGCTCGCTGGATGCTGAAGACGAGTGGGCGGCACGCCAGCAACAGGCACAAGGGACGCCGGAGCAACAGGCACAGCCGCAGCAACAGGCACAAGCGGCGCCGGGGCAACAGTCGCAGACGACGGCACGACAGGCACCAGCGACAAACCCAGCGACAGCTTCGGTGGCACCCTCGATGCATGCAGCAACAACAGTCTCAACAACAGTCTCATCAGCCGTGCAGAAGGGCACCGCACCTACTGCTGCACCTCCTCGTCGGCGTCGCCGACGTCGGCCTGGCGAACTTGGCTGATGGCGACAGAGCACCAGTTAGAGGCCGGAAAATGCAGCGCCTTCGTCATGAAATCGGCAGGCTGCTCGGTGGTCGGGATGTACTTCAGCGCGAACTTCCCGCGCCTCACCATGTGCTGCAGCCAGGCGTAGCGTCGCTCCATGTGTTTGAGGTTGCCCGTCAACCCCAAGCCCTCAGCAAACGTGATGGCCGACTTGTTGTTCACGCGGAGGGTGGTCGGCTCCCCAACGTCGAGCAGCTTGAACTCCGCAAGAAGGAAGCGGAGTTGGCGTCTCTCCTTGCCGGCATCCGTAGCCGCCACGTACTCCGATTCGGTCGATGATTGTGTTGCGCACTTGATGCGTGAGCTCGACCAGGAGACAACGGCCCCTCCGTAGACGAACACGTAGCCGCCCGTGCTCGTCCGGTTCTGCTTGTCGCCCGCGTCGTCGGCATCCACGTAGCCGATCAGCTCCAGCGACTCTGGTCCACCGCCAAACTCCAGGGCGGTGTCGCGGGTGTCGGCGAGGTAGGCGAGGCAGCGGTCGACCTCGCGCCAGTGCTGGTCGCTCCTTACCGTGAGGCCGCTCCCCAGCTTGCTGCAGTCGAACACGATGTCCGGCCTCGTCGTCGTCGCCGCGAACTGCAGCGAGCCAACCTTCTGCCGGTACTCCTCCTCCTCGCGCTCCTGCGCTTCCTCGTCGTCGAATGTCAGCTCGGCGTAGGCGTCGACCTAGACCAGCGTCTTCGGGATGCGCCCGCCTTGCTCCTCGTCGATGAAGCGTTTACGCAGCTTGTCGGCGTAGTTCTGTTGGTGCAGCCACAGCTTCCTCGCCGGCCTGTCGCGGACGATCTCCAGCCCAAGGTACTTCACCACCGGCGAGATCTCGCGCAGCTCGAAAGCGGCCTCCAGCAGCTCCTTCAGCTCCTTCAGCATCGCGGTGCTGCTGGCGGCGAGCAGGTCGTCGACGTAGACCAGCACCCAGCAGGTCACTCCGTCGTTGCCGGCCTTGAAATAGAGCGCCGTGTCGACCTGGCTCTTCTTCCAGCCAACGCCCAGAAGCACGCTGTCGAGAGCCCTGTACCACAGCAGCGGCGACTGCTTCAGCCCGTAGAGGCTCTTCAACAGCTTACACACCCGGCCGGTCCCATCGTCGAAGTAGTCCGGCTGGTACATGTAGAGCACCCTGTCGAGCTTGCTCTGCAGGAAAGCGTTCTTCATGTCGAGCTGCATCAGGTTGAGGTCGAGGACGGCGACGATGCTGAGGAAGATCCTCAACGTGACGTAGCTGCTCACCGGCGCGTACGTCTTGTCGTAGTCGGCGCCGTACACCTGCGTGAAGCCCTTCATGACCAGCCTCGCCTTCTCGCACTCGACGGTGTCGTCGATGCGGTACTTGGTCGTCAGCACCCACCGGTTCTTCATGATGTTCACTCCGTGTGGGCGTTCGACCAGCTCCCAAGTGCCCATGCTGATGAGGCTGCGGATCTCCTCTTCCATGGCGGCCTTCACCGCCTCGCCCTTCCAGCTCGCCAGCGCCTCCTTCACCGTCATCGTGGCGATGTCCCAGCGGTGTTCGGGGTCGGCGTGCATGTCGGGGTCGAGCTCCGGCAGGTCTTCATCCTCCTCGGCGTCGTCGTACAACAGGTCGTCGTCACCCTCGTCATACACCGTGGTGAAGGCAGCTGGTGGCAGGCAGGCGTGGAAGCTCAGCCGCTCCGGCG